GATATTAAGAGATACCTTAGTTACCCTTTTGAACTGTTCAGGTGATCACGTTCATATTGCCGGACCCTGGAGCATTTCCACATTCCAGGCTGTCAGCTCCCACCGGAGTCCATAACGAGATCTCTGCATGTGCAGACACTTCTCACATCCTGCTTCTGTATGAGAGGACGTAGGCTGGAGGGCAGGCCTGACACCGCCCTGCATTCACCTGCAGATCTGAAGTGCTCTGTGGCATGTCTCTTCTGGTGAACGTAGGGAGAGACTGTGGGAAAGCAGCTTTCCTAGTCAGGTCCTGCTGCTTTGTCTCACTCCAATGCTTTAATGCTTCTGCAGCAACTCCAGTTGCTGCTATCGAAGTTGCAGTATGCACTCTAAAATCATGGAATCATAGAATGTTTTAGGTTGGAAGGGACCTTTAGAGATCCTCTAGTCCAACCCCCCTGCAGTGAGCAGGGACACCGGTAACTGGAGCAGGTTGCTCAGAGCCCCATCCAACCTGGTCTTGAATGTTTCCAGGGATGGGGCCTCCACCACCTCTCTGGGCAACCTGTGCCAGTGTTTCAACACCCTCATTGTAAAGAATTTCTTCTTTATATCCAGTCTAAACCTACCCTGCTTCAGTTTAAAACCATTACTTTCACCCTGACCATATTTGCAGTGCTTAATATCTGGGTGACTATAGTACTATAATATTTTGAGATAAAAAAAATGAAGAACCATCATTTATTGCCTTACTCTCCTCTTCAGGTTCTATAGAACACTGCGTATACTGTGTGGCTCAAGTACTGTCATATAGCATGGTTTTTTTTAATTTTTAAAATGTCAACACTTTCATGTCTGAAACACAGGTGAGAAAGCTTTAGTAGCTGGCAGAGGTGAATGGTTTGTGAATAGTCTTGTGGTCTTGTAGTCTGCTGGCCTGGTGGGACCAGTGTGGTTGCATGGGAAATGCCAGATTCCTGCCAGGAAGGCTGCTCTCTCCAGCTGGGCAGTGATTGCTTTTCTGACCATCCCAGCACAGTTGTCAGATCACAGCCAGAGCACATCTGGGTTCAAGAGCTAACCCTGCCCCTTCTTCTCACTAGTTGTTACGTGCTGACTCTTTTATTCCCCCTGCCTCTAGCCCAGTCTTCCAGTTTCACCACCATTCATGCTACTGGGTGTATTTAGGACAACCACTTACAGGTTCTCTTCAGTTTTAAGGGCCCAGATCTTAATTATACTAAAGCTGGTTTTAGCAATCACCTTTTCGTAAGGAAGCCTTGAAGTCACAAAGAAGTTTACAGCTGAAGCTGCATTAAGTAGTATGAGTGAGATCATCTGCATTAATGCCTGGGCTGTGCCATGGGAGAGGATCAGTACAGAAAAGCAGTTGCTGCTGCCGCCGCATTTACGGTGCATCCAGTTCAGAGGGTTTTGCTTCGGAAGAGATTCGGTCTCGCACTGGGCTACGTGCCCCATCACACATGGGGTTTGAAGCCACCCTAAGGACCAGTCATTGAGCCTGATCCTTACGTCAGTCTCAGTGCCTGGAGGGCATTTGTGTGTAACCGAGGTGGAGCTTGGGGTTTTGTTTCCTCCAAGAAGAATCTGTTTTGCTTACACAGCTCATAAACTAAACCAGCAAACAGCAAGTGCTGATGATTGGGGATTCACTTCAAACTGCTCCAAACCAAATGGAGACATGGCTGTAAAGCCTTTCTGGAAGACAAAAAACCCAAACCCACCAACATGCTGTCTTCACCAATAAGTCTGCATTTCTCACATCTGCCTTTTGTACTGATCTAAGACAATTATGTGAACAGATCAGGGAGAGCTTGGATTTCAGGTACCCATATCTAAACGTTTTATTCAAGCTACCAGTGGAATCCAAATTAAGATTTCCTATCATCTGCCACTCCTCACTACGTATGTACTATTTGGATAACTTCTGATCTAGGTTCAGAGCAGACAGTTGCACCATATGTCTTGTGCCGTTAAATCTGCCCCTGTAAACTCAAGCACCGTGGAAATAGTGGAAAGAGACATAAATTCAGACATATGGCTTTACAGGAACCATTCTAGAAGCCACAAGAGAATTTAGCCAGGCCAGGCTGCCAAAATGTTGGTGAACTGCTCCCAGTAGGCTCTTTGGAGCTGGAGAATGAGGGCCACGCAGAGCAAATGAGAGCAGTGCGCATTTTCTTGCCAATAGTAATAATAAGAAATAAAATTTAAAATCATAGATAAAATGTCCTGATATTTTATTTTGGGTTTAGCTGTTACTAGAAACACTCTGCACCATCATTGCCACATTTCAGCATAATCTTGTACCTTTAAAAATATGAGTGTTTGTTATGCAGTAAAGAAAGTTGAAATGTAAAGGTTTTAAGCAGCAGTACAAAATTGGATGTCTGTCATGCGGAGCAACAATTACACCCTAAGCGTGTAGAGAAGAACTTAGTGAAGCTAAATGCCTCGTGCTCCCCAATATGTAATATTATCACAGCATGAGTAATTGGAGATATTCTGTAGAACTGCTTTGACTTTAGGTTATTTTAAAGCCTATTGTGAATCATTCTCCTGTTTGGACAGGGGATATTGCTGTCCCTTCGCTTTCCTTTTGAACTATACAGTTTTCTGCTTCCAAACTCTCCCTGACCTGTTCTGCTCTGAGACTTCAGACAGCATTGCGATCTCTCGTATGCTCTCTGTTCTGTGCAGACTGACTTCTGCCAACGGGAGTTCGCAGCAGTAAGAAGAGGTTGCTCGTCCATGCCAAAATCTGCGTATTTATGCCATGAATTCTTGTTTAAAAGCAAACCAGCAGAAACTGGAATCCTTTTTTCCCTCTACAAATCACCCAAAGCTTCTGAACAGTACAATGTTGCAGAAAAGCCTTGTTAGATTATCCAGCTCATGTCCTTGTCAGTGAGGGATTTCTTTCTGCAGCACTCGGGCCTTTCAAAGGTTCTGTCTAGTTTAAATTTGAAACAATGAGGCAGTTCCCTCCAGAGACCTCTCTGACCACTTGGAGATTTCCCTGTAAGGATAGTAATTTTTATTCTCAGCCAAAGAATTCCTTTTCTTAATTTAATCCTCTCATTCCTATATTTGGGGTACTCTGTTATATTCTTGAAATCACTCATTTTCAAATATTTCTTACATAAATTTACATAATTTCCCCTCCCCTTGCTCCATTATCAGTTACAGCAGATGTAGGATAAATATTGGGCCCCTTTAGTCTTTCCTCTCCTTTTTTCTCCCTTGCCCCGGTTGGTTTATGTAGCTCTCCTCTGGTTTTCATGGCTCTGTTCTGCACTGGTTTGGCTTGTCAGCATGAGACTGATAAAATGGTATTTAGAAGTGAATGTATACCCAGGTATGGTCTCTTCAAAGCAGCACGGAGAGGAGCTGTGGACTTCTGAACCATTTTCTAAAATTATATAATGTCTAACCAACAGAGACTGGTTGTGAGCGTAGCCTTTGGCTGGTAATGTAATTGGTGCCCAAATTGGCCTTTTGATGCTGTATTGAAGTACAAGTTCTTGTTTAGTTTCTGCTCTTATTCTTGCTCTAGAATTTTTTCAGTCTGTTATTTCCTGCCCCTATTTCTAAATCTGTGTATTTCCTTGTTAGCCGTGGTATTTGCGACTCTTCACATTTTAGTATCAAGTGAATTTCATTAATGTCATAATTTCTTCCTTTTAAGGATCATTAATGAAGCAAGGACTGGATGTAATACAGATTTATGCAATATTCCCCTTCTATTCTGACTCAGTGCTTTACCATTAATCATCAGTCTTTGTTTGTAGCTCTTCAAACAGCTTTCAGTCCACATGACAACTTATATCCAACCAAATGCAAACTGGTTTTCAGTTTAAGCTGTCCTGTGGCTGGAAGTGGTGATGTTGCTGATAGCGTGACAGTGCAGCAGAGCAGTTGTTCTTCTGTAGCATGCTGTGGGAGCATGCATTTCACTAGGCAGTGCAAATGGGAGTTAAAGCTCCATTCAACTTCCTGGGCAGTTCCCCCTGGTAAAAATCTATCACTGATATCTATCCGCGGTATTCCCCGCAGGTGCTGCTGGTGAATATCTGTTTTAAAATGTAAGCTTCTAAGCCTGTGCTCACAAGCAGGTGGGAGAAAGAGAATTGAAATAATCTCAGTTAGATGTATGCTTATTGAAATAGTATGCCATACACATGCCATTTAAAATAAATGTAAAAATGAATTTCACTGATTCTTTTTGACTTGGTATTTTGTTACGATGACAGAACTGAATTGCTGCATAAGGTAATCAGAATTCAGGAATCGTATCTCCACATAATATCTTTTTTATCTTGTATCATTAGAGGTAGCCATCTCATGTCCACATGATGTATGTATCTGCCTTTTCTGTACTTAGATGTGTGATATTCCATGGAATAACTGTTTGTAGGTACCTACAAATGCAACACTGGCTGCAGCTCAGTATCAGAATTGCTGATGTAGATGGATTCTTTTGAGTCCTTTGTTATTACTTATAATACTCATCTAAATGTAATTGTCCTGTTATTTTCATGTTCTAAGAGCTGGATTTCTTTAAAATTGCTCCCTTTTAAAATGCTGTGTTCTGTTTGAATATTGAAGAGCTGTCAACATATATAGAAAGATGTGCCTAATAAGAAAAGATCACGGATGTTTATTTGCTTGATAAAGTGTTAGGGATATGTGAAGAAAACATAGAAATAAGCATATTGAATAGGACACTAGTATGCTTTGTATTTTAAAATTAAAATTATTAACAATCTTCCCATTTTATGACTTTCAATTAAAGACACGGTAATGTTAGGTATTCGTCAACTTCCAGCACAAGCAGACCAACTCCCCGAGTATCAAATTTACCCTCTGTAGTTCTTTGCTGCCATCTTCTGTTTCTTTAAATGATTGCCAGTATTATTTGGATTCTGAAAAACAAGGCTGGGATATTACAGCGCATATTTTCCCTTTCTATCATTTTTTGTTTTCCTTGTTTTCAGTTAAAACAAAGTGAAGCAAATGCAGATACAAAGGAGAAGCTGCCATTGCGTCTTCGCATCTTTGAAAAATTTCCAAACAGGCCACAAATGGTGAAAATCTCCAAGCTTCCTTCAGATTTCACAGTTCCAAAAATAAGGTATTGAATTATTTTCATTGCTAGTATGCTATAAACCTGTCTAGTGCCACATAGCGCCCAAAATACCTGTTTTGCTTGTGGATTACGCAAATAGTTCAGAAAATCAGAAGTGAAACAGAATTAACTTTAGCATCAAAAGGAGGTGACATTTTGGTTTTACCTCATATTTACTTTTGGGGAAAAAAAAAATAATCCTAGTATTCCTTATAATGTATTCATGAAAGCAACTAGATTGACCAGAACTGACGCAAGTACAATATGATTGAAAAGTGTGTTGTTGTTTCTCAGCTCCCATTTGGATTTTAGATTCTTGGCTGATATAGACAACTAGCAGTCTAATCAATTCTCATGTAGCTTTTTAATTATAAGATCAACTGGCAGCGAATCGTTAGAGGGGATAGCACAGGCCATCCAATATCAGTTAGGCTGTGATGACCTTGTCCCCTTTTTGGATTTGCATAGCTACCACTTTCCTGTAAAAGTCACCTTAACAAAGGATCAGACTCGCAGTTGGCTGCTACATCATCAGTTACAGTACAATTATTCTTGGCATGGTCCCAAAAAAGCTTACAGAAATCCAAGGGCTGCTCTACCAGAGCACATGCCGGGCAAGAGGATGGTGTGGAAGACAGCTGTCATTGTTCTGGGTCTCCTGAGGTTACATCTCTTTTGATTAGTCTCAGAAGGAAGCTAATGCAAGTGGTTTGACCTGTTTGTATCACCTTAGCTGAATGAAAGGAATTATGCTGGTCAGAAGGGTCAGGAAAAACAACTTTCCAAACCTCAAGGAAGCAGTCATAGGTATTTTGCTTTCAATACCAAAATACTGTTTGGTTATATATTGAGGGCATTCTTCTCCTTGTCTTAGTCTTTTTTGGTATTTTTTTCTAGCTGTGGTTTTCCCAGCATACTCTAGACTAATATGTGGTCATGCTAACTACTGAAACACAGACTTTAAAGTATCACTAGCAAATAATTTCTTTAAATCTGAAGCTATTGGTCTATGTAGAACTATTTCCTCAGATAAAAATTAGTTTTGACATAGTCAATTTACACTGAAAATAGGGCAACTCTACTGAACTTAATATACACCAAGATGTATGTACATTTATTGTAGACAGAAATGCTTCTACATTTTAAAGATGGCATATGTGAGGCAGAGAATTGCTGAAGCGCCTTAATGCTGGCATTCAAAGCAGTTATATGAACAGATGTTGTTTGATATCTTGAAGAAAGAAATTCTTGCAGAGATTATGTTTCCTTTGGATTATATCAGCATTTGATTTACATTGAAGTAACAACTCGCTGTTTAATGAGCTCAGAAGAGCTGAAAACTGCAAAAGGCACTTCAAATATTTAGCAATTTAACAGGTAAATAAATAAATAAATGATTTCTTATTAAAAGGAAAAAAATTATGTTCTTCGAAGCTACATGCTAGCCACCCACCTCTCAATTCAGCTATAGATTTCTTTAATAAATTAATTTAAGTTTTATCAGTTGTTTCGGCTTTCTGTCCGTTTGTATGTCAATAGCCCAGTACAACTTTTTCTTGGAATTTATCCATCTCAGCACTTACGGGTTGTGACACGTCATAAAGAAAACCAAATGTTATCTCTTCCTGGGCTTTTAATCCATCAATGTCTTCTATTTCTTCTCAAGGGAAAGTTTTATGAAGCAGTTTATTGATCGCCAGCAACAAGATACCAGCTGTTTGCTACGAAGACTTCCTTCAGCATCATCTTCCTCATGTGACCACTCTAAAAGATCAGCAATTGAAGAAAACAAATACATTGATCAAAAGGTAAATCAAATGTATAGGGCAGTATATGGCTTTCCTTGAGTATTGTGGGGAAAGGCTTCCAATTATTCAGTTTATCAAACTACATAAAAAGGAACACAAGCTAGGACAACTGAACACAGGCTAAAAGGCTGTATTTAACTGAGCCTTATACAGACATGACAGCAGATCCTCCTTTGGTTTAAATTTTCCGGTCTCCTCTGACTTCAAAATTCAGGATTTGATACATAATTTTGTTCAATGCATCCATCATATGAAGCTATTTTTTAAGTAGTCCTGCTGTTAATCACTGAGAAGCTAGTGGAAAATTAAATTTTGTGAATATCACATTGGATTTTTGCGTATCTTGATACTGTTACAATGTTGAAAGTGCACTTCACTGAAGCACGGTCTCTCTGTAATCACTGGAGATGAGTAAAAATTCAAGAATTATTCTGATTATTTAGAGGACATTAGCCTCTGTAGGCCTTGAAATAGCTAGAAAACAGATGCTGAACACATATGTTGAGACCCATTGTGTTAAAAGCTGCTAGTCTGCCAGTCAGACTGGCATGGATGGTTGGATTTGAAAAATATCAGTACTTCTTGGAATGACGATGATGATGCTGCAGCATAAGTAAATGTGTGTGACTTCTGGCACCTTGCAAAACTACAGGGTCAGAAAAAATCATATGCATCATGGAAGATACTGGTTTGCCAGATTTCTAGTGGCATCTACACTGGTATAACTTCTCGATCACTTGTAATATCGTGTAACTTACTAGTGGCATTTTAGCAGACAAAAGTACTTTCAGTATTCATAACAGGGTGCACAAATCCTGTTTGAATGTTATCATCAGGAGTTTGTAAATACATTTTAAGTCACAGAATCACAGACAAGAAAAAGAAAGAGGGTATATGTTGTAGCTACTCAGTATAACTCTGGCTTTCCTAGTATGTGGTTTGCAACTGTAACTCAGGGCATCATTCATACAGGCAGGAAGCAGAGCTGGGGCAAACAATACTCTTCTGATAATGAATGAAAAGAGACAATTTTCAAACTACTGTTAATTTTCATCCCTATTTCACTGCAAGAACCTATTCCTGTGGCCAATGTATTCTATGGCATTAGTAATCCAAAGCTGAACAGCATGGCCTGATAGGGAGGTCTGTGGTAAAATATTATTTATCAGACAAGGAAGGTCATAGGAAGAATCAAGCCTAAATGGACATCGCCTACTCTAACAAGCACAGCAGAAAAAAATTGAGAAGTTATTAAACGATTGGGGGTCAGCAGAACTGTGCCAAATATTGCTAATGATGGACCTCAGACACTGTGCCAGGGAAATCAGAGTACATTTCTACCATGTAATGAAGAGATGAACAGAGACCTTAAACTTATCCCAGCCACACAGATAAGTCCACAGTATGCAGTGCAGAGCTGTGCAATGATTCAGTAGCTCTCCTTACATGAATATAGTTTAAGTATATTAAATTGCAATCTTAATTCCTTCTGCCTGCTTTTCACAAAAGTGAATCCTTCTTGTGTTTGAAGATAGATGAATACATGGCACAGTTTATTCAATGAGATCTTGCAATCTGAGAACAGAATGCTGCATTCTTTTCAAATTTTCACTTCCCTCCAAGAGCGAATATGCATGACCTGACTTTCATTTTTGAATTGAAATAAGTGTTTGCAAATTGGTTTTGCACTATTCAACCTGCTTTAAGCACATACTTTTGGGTTCCCATGCCTCAAGGTTAGAATGAACGATGAGTAATATATCTGATAAATGTAGCTTAAAACAAGGTATTTACACATTCCTATTAAGAGGGAGAAAGCACTAGGAAGGATTTTGTGAAAGTAATTACTCTGGCTTTCTATAGTTACAGTTGCCAAGGCAACCTCACTTTTGAATGAACAAATCTTCTTAAAAATATCTTATCCTTAAGACAAGCTTGGAATGACTGGTTGCACTTAAATACAAACCTTGTATGCATACTTTACTTTTCTTTGTAAAAAAAGAAACCTGACCACACATTTTACACATTTCACATTCCCATTGCTCCTGATAGCAGTGTGGTGGCTTCAGAAACTTTTCACATCTTTTTTTGCATTGTAGTTGATGAAAAAATAGGGTGGAATCAAAAGGTGGAATTCTGCTGGCAGATTTCACTCTGTCCTTCCTTTATGGTGTCTGAACTGTGGCTAGTTCCTCCATTTTGTCCTGGACTTATATCAGTATTTCTGCATCCCACACCCACTGAAGTCATAGGAAGTACTTAGTACATACATTCCTTTATTTCCACTTCAGCACCGTTTTTTTTTTCTTTCTCTAAAAATCTGCCACTCTGTATATATGGTGTTGGTTTTATGTTCAGAATCAATCATCTGACCCATAATTTGTGATGACTGATAAAGAAAATAATTTTTTGTTCTCTTATATAACAGCTTTAGTAAGTCTTTTCAGTATAATAATTGCCCACTTCCTTGAAAAGATGTTATAAGTTGTAAAAGAGGAGTAGATTTCCATTTCATCCTTTCTTTTTTTAAGATATTTTACCTTCTCAAAATAATTTAAACATCTATTTATTCATATATTTACCATAACCATGACAACAATGGGTCTGAAATTATTTTCTTCTATGCTGAATCAAAAGAACAGCTTTGGAAAATAGATTTCTCTGCTATAATCCTTTTTTCTAGCCAAGTCTGTGAGCTCCAGAAGTTTTTCTAACTCTTCCAAATTTCTAAACTATTATCAAAGTAATAAACTAACCAAACACTAATGTAAAGAATTACTTTTAGATACCTAAATGCCCTTTACCTTCTATATACATCCCCTAAGAGTTCTCTCTCAATGCATGGGTGTGTGGGGACAGGCCGTGCCATGTTCATTCTTCTACATCCAATGCCAGCAGCACCTGGGCCATCTCAGATGCGGATGCTTGATAGGCAGCTTAGCATGATGCTTTGCTTGAGTTGTTCATGTAACTTTGTGTGCAAGACTGGGATTCTCTGGGGTTGTCTGGACTTAACACTGCTGGAAATGTAGGATGGTCATTCTTTGCTCTCTGCTTGAGGTCCTGCTGAGCAAATTTTCTTAAACCTGTTGATCTTGCCACAGACCTCCTCCACTGCATGCTGAGCTGTTCTATCCCGATGTGGTCTGCAGGCCATGAGTTGAAGAGTTCTGGGTCTAATTAGAGAAACCAGGACTGTCAGGGTTCATGAGGATACCCCTGTCATAGCAGAAAGTACCACGGAGATGCTTTCTGGTGAAAGAAGGAAGACTGCTCAGAAAAAGTGCAAGTATAAGGAGACAGTTCCATTATAAAATTAATGGGAAAAATATCTGTGGAAAGGCTTAAAAATTGAAAAGAGGGAGTTATAGTATTAATTGAACATTGTAGATGGGGAGAAGGGGAGTTTTAGAGGCGGAGAGGGAAGTGTTCTTTTATACTTCCACATTTGTATGAAATTTATTCACAGTATGCTGGGAATTTCCTCAGATATCCATTATTTCAGTAAATTCTTGCACAGGAGAACTAGATGAAATATGGAAACAGATAATTTTTGTGTGAGTGGGTGGATGAGAAGAAAGGAAGTTGGCAGAAAATAAGGACATCTCACTGTGGTGGCTGTCACAAGAGCCTGAGGGATAGTCACAGCAAGTCTTAGGGGACAAAAATACTAAACGAGCTGTAACGTTTGCAACAAATCACGTGTTCAGTAAAATACAGCCGAGTTGTCTGTAGAGCACTGGCCTTGGCTTTTTAACTTCAAGATTAAAATCAGAGGAGCGCAGAAACACCTCAGAGTGCTTTCCTGAAAGACATACAAATTTTAGCAAGCCCAGCAGAAAATTATTGTGAGGAGGACATTCCTGAGTCAGTTACTTACCTTTGGCCACACGACACAGCACATTGCTGTTAAAGTAAAATTCACAACTGATAGGCCCATGAGATGAACTTTGAAAATGCCTGTGGCTCAATGTGTACAGATACCCATGTGCACATTTACAGCAGTGGCACAGCAGGAGTGAATTGCAAAACAAAGCAAAAGAGGATTTAATATAAGCATGTATTTTATAGTTCAGATTTTGAGCATCTTCCATTTAACTTAATGAATATAAACAAGCTGGCCCTCTTATTTTTGCATTTGTAACTGGATAGTAGCAAACACATGTTCTCTTTTCTGTCCTCTTTATCATCCTGTTTCCTTTCTGTTTCTTTTCACATGGATGAGTTTTCTTTCTAGCTCTGCAAGCAGTGAAGTCAGTAGCCATTCCTTTTTCCTGTGGGAGCAAGATCCATTATGAAGGTCTAGCTCTTGTGAAATCTCGACCTCCCACACCATATGCCTCTCCCATTAATTTCCTAGTTACAGCAGAATGTACCTGTATGACAGGAGGCCATGGTCAGAAAGCAGGAGCTGATCTCGGAGGTAGCCAGAGCCATTACCATGGAGGACTATGAATGTTAAGCAGAAGACCTCGCACTGGATTCTGCATGCTTTGGGGAGTTGATGCACAGGATAGAGCACCGAGGCGATATGTTCATGATGACCTGTGTTGCCTTGCAGGTGGGCTGCTGAGCTTTGCACCCACTTTTTTATGCTATTTGGTTTCCTTCCTACTTATGATCCTGCTGATAACCATTAAAGTTACATGGGATGGAACACAAACATCAACCCAATTATAAGCCTCATCCTGGAAGGGTCTGAGTACTTCCCTGGAGATCAGCTCCCTCCGATTTATGTAGAAATCACTGTCTCTCGACACCTCGGGAAAACTTTATGATTTCATCTGTTTACAATTTCACACACAAATTCAACATACAAGATAGCCCACAACTTTTAATGCGTGTTTGGTTAACATCATAGATACTCCATTTGTGAGCTGCTGAGGCATGCTACCTGCTCCTGATAAGATGTTGTTGTTTAATCTGGCAATTTGTTCCAGCATGTCTTTTTCTGATCTGTGCGCAGCTTCTTTCATTAACTGTTCTGTTTCTTGCAAAAA